CACTACAATAAAATACTAAGTTTTTATGGCCCAGGTCAATGATGCAATTGAATTGTCGCACCAATCAATTACAGGTTATATCGGGTGTGCGTTAATTTGGGACACTATATGCTATTTTGTGGGTGCCCGGATTCCCATTCCCGTTATTTCGCGCTTATACGGTAGCAAATGTCATTATAGCAGTGTCGTGATCAGAACGAATGATTTGCTAAAACCTAGATTGTTCGAACTAGCAGATGAAACTTATGGGCTGATTTTTGCTTGTCGATCCAACCCAAAAATTGATGTTGGATCGACAAATGATGCAAATGATGATCGTCATAACATCATTCGATAATATTGTGGAAAGTTCTAGGGTGAGATCATACGAGATTCATCTTGAAGAGACGGAGGTTACTAATACTATCTATTCAAAATTATATAAACATCCATCGAACGAGCTCAAGAATTTTACAAACATTACCAAATTCAAAGCGAATTACAACCCTTAGGAATACAACCAAACCAAGAAAAAAAAACTTATAAACTCATCAACTTTACAAAAAAACTTATAAACTCATCAACTTTACAAGAAACAACTAAAAATGTCGTTATATTGGCCTGATTCTGAATTAGGACGTTTCGAAAACTCAGTATCTCGTTTATTTGACGATTTTTTTAAGGATTTTGACAATGCTAAAAATCCGGGAAGTGTGCGAAAAAATAACCGGGGTTACAAGGTTCTACCTCTCGATGTTCACGAAAGTGAAAAAGAATTCGTTATAAATGCTGAATTACCAGTACGTTATTTATGCTTTTTTTTTTTTTTTTTTTTTTTTTTTTACTTTGAATTATAATCGTATATATATATGTCTTTAACATCATTTCTTTTATTATCTTTTTTAAATATAGGGAGTTACTAAGGAACAAATTAACCTCGATGTTCGCGAAGGTGCGCTTTATATTTCCGGTGAAACTAAACAAGATGAAAAATATAATGAAGGAAATGCACATATTCAAGAACGTCGATACGGAGCATTTTCTCGTACTATTTCTCTTCCTCGAAACGTTAAAACTGAGAATATTACTGCTAGGTTTGAAAATGGAATTCTTGAAGTGAAAATCCCAAAAGATGAGGAGATGCAACCCAAGAAAATTGACATTAGATAATTTTATAATTAATTATTCTTTTTATATTTTCATAAGAAATGTAAAATATTTTATTAGTAAAAATTATCATTTTTATACTTAATATAACATTCATAATAAAAATTAAACAGCCTTGCAAATTTGCTTAATTAAAGCTTGACTAAAATAGACTAATTGTTTATACTCATTATTGATGATATACTGTATTAGCATGAAAATAGTGTTAATTTATTAATAATGTGAATTTTTTAAAAAAACTACTATTTTTGAATAAATCACTACAGCTATACGTATACTTAATTAACTCGCAACCTTACTTTCAAAATGTTATGTGTATATAAAAAATACTTTAAAAAATTTAAATAGCAGGAAAAGAAAATGATCGTTGGAGAAATTTCGATTTGTTATGATCTTTTTGTCTATTGTTCTTAATCACACGTAGTCTTTTTTTTATAATTGATGGTACGTACTGTACGTAACACATTTTTTCATTATTTATATAATTATTACGTATTGCTCGAGTCAGAGCATTGATCAACATAATACGAGTAACTCAGCATTCGTGTTACGAAAAAAAATTTCGTTTAATGAACAAATGTTATATATACAGAAAATCCTATAAACCTACTTTTTTTATACATTTAGAATCAATAGGGAACTAATTTTTCTGCTAAAATTATCCCGAAATCACAGGGTCACATCTTTTTGCAAACCGTTAATAAAATATAATGAAATTTATGAATGTAACAGATCAATATTTGAAACTATTATGAATAGAAGTTCGATAATCGAACTAATCATTCGTCTTAAAATTAATGAGAAATCGGCCGATTCTAGTAGATTTTTCGATTCTTAGAGAATTTAAAGATCCGAATAAGATATAGACGTTATTGATCAAAAATTATGATCAATAGGGAATTAAAATCTCGGAAATTTTCCGCTATCATCATCACGAAATCACAGGGTCAAACCGCCATAATCAAACCAGTTATTCGTTACAGAAAAGTCGTGATCAGTGACTTAATTTTTCTGTATATTAAAAAGTTTTGAAACTTCAGGTGATCGAAATTAAATGTGAGTATGCAGTAAAGTGGTGATTGTAGTCATGAAGTTGTTAAGGTTGAATATGAACTAGGTATATCGTAAATTAAAAGCATTCTCAAACGCCATCCTCAATGGAATCTTTATTGAATTCATTGAGTGATGCTTAAGAACGCCCTAGTTAAATATACTGATAGAAAAAAAAAGAGATTTAAAATTTAAATATTTGCTTGGATTTTTAATAGCGATAAAACTATGAACAAATATACAATAAAATCCAAAGTAATAAATAGCAATATTAATGGGAAAATATTTTAGTATAAAAGTTTTTTTTTCTAGAATATATAATAAATTATATTGTTTAACTCTTCCAAAATCGATAACCTATCTAATAAAAATTGGTCTATCAAGTTCATTTCCATTATATAAATCTAATAATCTATAATATTTTTCAAATCTGGTAATTTTTTCAATGCCAATACAAAATTTGCTTAAAGTTTAACAGTATATATAATGTACAAATAAGTAATAGTTATGAGGCACGAAGTGCCGAATAACTGAGTTATTTGCTGTATGCTATTTGATTGGTCGATTTAA